TCTGATTTGGTTCATTGGTTGAGTGGATGAGCGTTTTGTAAGTTCGGTTTCCAATTTTCAATTTTAACGTGTAGGGTTAGAGTTAGGTTACTGAGTTAAGGGTTTAATAGTAATGTTAATTGGGCCAAAATTTTGGGGAAGCCCAATTGTCAAAATTGCCCAATTAATTTTGGGAAAAAATAATGGAAAGCCCAATTCCCCAATTAATTTTTTTAATGGGTAATTGGTTTGGGACGGGGCACCGTCACTAAATACCATACCCGCCCCACCTTGAACCAGGTCATTAAAATCAAAACCATAATCACCCTATTGCATCTTTGGTTCGGTTTTTTTGCCCCATTTGGTTCAGTTAACAACGATTTTCGTTTTAATAGTTCGAATTGCCATCCCTACTCACAAAGGCGTACAAAGATCGTGATTGTTTATTATCAAAATTCTCAAAGGAGCTTGAAGGATTTGGAAAATGTAAAATACTAATCACGGTTTCTATCTATATAAAAAGATGATCCTTGAAGGAACTAAAATTATTTTTAAATTTGATTACGCAGGCATAAGTAAATTCTCAACAAGTTGTATACCATATAGTGACGGTGACTTGAAATCTTTAGTATTAACCTTGACTCTTTTGGACTCTTAGACTTGTCAGAGAACAATTTATTTGGCTCAGTCCCCTCTTGCTTCAATACATTAAGCATGAGTTTGGTCTATCTTAACAATAACCAATTGGAAGGTGCGCTTACACATGGATTGTTTAACAATTCTTTTTTAGTTACATTGGTTCTTAGAGAGAATAAATTCATAGGAAGTATCTCTCAAAGGATTGACAATCTATTGAGCTTTATTCTACTTGGAGGCAATCATTTTGAAGGCATAATTCGTGACCAACTATACTAAATAAGGATTAACATGATAGACCTACTTATAATAGCCTCAGTGGTCAGATGCCGCACTGTTTGGGTAACATGACACTAGAGGTAAACGAGATAAAGACTATGATGGTTCAAGGAGATAACCTTTTTTCAGTAGTCACATTCAGGTCATTGCTGGGTTGGTGCCTCTTCAGCATTAACAACCGGTTCAAAGGAAGGCAATTCTAAGATTACCTCATTTTCGTCTCCCTCCAGAGAATCTAGACAATGATGGATGTCCTAGGCAGAATCAGCGGACAACTGTCAAGTGAAAATGGGAATGTTTCCCAATGAATCTGGCAACATTGCAGAAAGAAGCCGAGTAATTCCTTCCCTTATGAGTAAAGGGAAACCACAATAAAGTTTGGTTATAAAAAACGAAGAGGATTGAATAAAGACCCAATACAAGATGGGGTGTCTCTTTCAGATTAAAATTAGTAAAAAAAACCTCCTAAAAAAACATGGATTGGATTGAGCTTGAAAGGGCCTATCACGTATATCTCCAAAAAGTAGAAGAATTCGGATTCAAGGATGGACAAATTACAGCAACATTACAATGAAGAAAAAATTGTATTCTTTCAAGGGTTGTATCCTCAACCACATATAAAGAATTGATCTATCTTCTAATTATAAATTGTATGGTGAAGTTGAAAGCCCAAGATTGGCTAACCAAGAGGGAGGTGAATTAGTTATTAAAACTTTTTTGTTAATCACTCAAGATGAACACGCAAATGATAGAGAATAATCTAAACACAAGTAAGCATGTAAATGGAACAATGTAAATTTGCGTGAAGTAAAAGGGATAGAGAATGCAAACGATATAATATGGAGGTTCGATCCAATCGTTCCCTGTTACCAAGCTCTCCGGCACGAGCTAGGCCTTTTTCACTATGTTGATTGACTTATGGTGCAATTCAACCATTTACAACACTTTCGGTGACTTACAACTAAGGAGCACCGATCTTTTTACAATATTGATATTTCCGGGACCTCAACACGACCCACAATTCAAAATTAGTTTACAAGTGAAATCTTCTCTTCTTAATTGATGATGATTCCAAAGTTGAGTACAAGAAGAAAAGTAGGTTAACACTTTGATAGATGGTAATGAATGA